AATCCCCTCAGCCTTAGGTAGCATTGGAGGCATATCATAGTGACCATATCGTATATCAGCGAGGTTGTAGTTATCACCGCAGCTCCCACAGATGCGTCGTGAGGCCAACTTGTGTATCAATACCTAGAGGCAACCGATGGGCACATGCTCAGCAGCAGAGGACTTGTCACCGATCTTGCGAGGCTGATATTAATTACAAGCTCAGGGTTACCGTCACCAAGAGTTAGATCAGACCACATCTGGGCTTGCTCTAGAACTCGAGGAAAACCATCAAGAATGTAGCCGTCAACTCTGGCGGCGTTTCGAAGGCTCATCACCTACAGCAGAGCGACAATGAACGACTCGACACTTTAGCGGAGCTACTTCATGTTTCATCAACTCAACACTGTGCTCAGAAGGGACCATCAGGCCTACGGAAGGTTATATGCTCCTTGTGATTATAGAGAGTACATACCTTTATCGAGGAAAGGCTTGGCCAAGCACCCGAGAGGGCTGCCTGCTTTTACATGAGCACGTAGTAGCTCTCCAGCACTGAGGTGACGCAGATTCAACCTCGGGGCGATTCTCTTGGCAAAAGTGCCTTTACCTGAGAGCAAAGCACAAGCAGCGGGGTAAGTACCAACTGCTCACCAACGCCTGGAGCTCCAAGGAATAACACTTTCTTCATGGACTGGTGAATACTCGTAGTAAACAGGTCGCAATGAAATCGATCATCTGGGCGAGCGCTATGTTAAAATGCGTCGGAGCAATCTCGTTGAGCCACTTGTTTTCGACAAACTTTTATACCTCCATGGGTTTAATTTTGTAATTCTTGTTGTTATAATAACATGTCACCTGTGCAGCTCAGGACTTGTTGTGTGTTGCGGTCATAACTCTATAAGTAACCCACCGATCGAGCACTCCTATAGACTCGCCAGTAGAATAACACCATCTATTTACAGTCGTCCTGTACTCTAAATACAGATGAGGGCGTGCGCTAAACTTCTTTAGGAAGGAAGCTTTACCCCTTCCCCTTGGGCAATTCGTGTCGTCATTGATTATATTACTTCAGATTTGCGAGTCCATTCCAAAGCGACATTTTTACACTAAAGTGAATTTTATAGGAATTATTTTTGCAGTTCTATACGATTACATTTCCAATGCTTTCTATCCTTAAAAAATTTTCCCAAATTTTCCTCGCCCGAGAGGAGCTCCCAGTCCACGAGCACACCCCCATAGCTGATATGTTCGCCCTCTACCCCATAGAAAGCGTCATAGTAATGACGCGTGGCTTAGAGCTGGGTATGGCCAGCAGGTAGTAGTAGTTAAGTTTATGCAACCATCACAGCTGCAATTATTTTCCCTCAGCACCATCCTGTTGGCACATTGTTTGTATATAGTAATCTGCAATATTCCTTCTAGTGGGTTTATCGAGCCAACCGAAGCGACTCTCATAGACAGGGCATTGCTACTACTTTGTGTAAGGTAAATTTCCTCAACAATTATATTCACTAAACTCCAACAGATTCTGCGTATCA